CTAGCTACTATAATATAATAATTAGTTATAAGCTACTTAAAGAAGCTAATATTTAGATTAACTATAAGTAGCGCGCACTAATATAGCTAGATACTAATTAATTAATTAATTATAAATATAACGCGTTTATCTTTATATAATTCTCTAGAGCTACTACTAAAATCTAAGTAGCTTACTAAGCTAATACTAATTACTATAACGCCTTAATATTAGTAGTAGAAAAGCTAAGAGTAATATAATAAGAAAAGAGAGAATTATAATACTAGAAGCTTTAAGAAAATCTATATAAAATAGATAGATAGCTTAAGAATCTTAACTTACCTACTAGGTTGCTCTATAAGCTAAAAAAGCTATCTATTTTATAAGAAACATATCTAAGAGCTAGGCTTAACGTTAATATAGTTAGTACTACTATCTTTATAATTAGCGCGCGTAGAAAGAATATTATAATTAGGTATCTTAGTGTCTATAAGGTAGATTAGCTTATTACTAATAAGAAGAAAACCTCTACTACTAATTCTAAGAGAGAGCTTTACTAGTTAATTACTTAGAAGCTTCTATTCTTAGAATACGCTAGCGTAACTATAGCTTATTTCTTAAAAAGAGATTCTAATACGCTACTACTATATAGAGAAGATATTAATTATAATATTAAGCTTATAGTAGAAAATACGCTAACTAATAGCTCTCTCTATAGTATATTACTAGAGTACCTATAGCTTATACGTAACTATCTAGAGAATTACCTTTACTATAGCTTTATTATTTATAGTAACGCGTTATACGTATTACTAGTTCTATTTACTAAAAAGCTAGAGAGAGAATAGAGATTCTACGTTAACTACTAAAAGCTTAACGCTATTATAAAAAAAGATGTCTATTCTATCTCTTTTATCTAGAAAACGCTTATCTACTTATTATACGTAAAGGTCTTTATAAAGTTAGACGTTTAGTAGACTTTCTATAGAATCTAGCTTAATAAGTTAGTAGAGAACCTAACTTCTTTCTATACGTAATATAGTAACTATAAGTATTATATTCTACTTTTTAGTTTTTATAATAGCTCTACTACCTTTTAGTAATATATTAATAAGATATTATATAGATTACTAGATAATTTCTATATAGTATATATTAATAATATTCTTATCTATTTAGAGAATTCTCTTAAGTATAAAACTTATATTACTAAGATACTTAATTAACTATATAAAGCTAAGTTATAAGTAGATATTAAAAAGTTAGAATTTACTATTAAGAGTACTAAGTTTCTATAATAGTCTAACTCGGCTTTAACTTAGTACTTTAGCCTAACTTAGCTCCGCCTAAGTTACATAACCCTGCCTAGCGCCTTAGTATAGGCACTCTATGTATATAGAGAGCTCTTAGAGTATTCTTCTACTTCTTACCTTTAGATAGCTAAATTTAACCTAACCTACTCTACTAGCACCTCTTATTCTTATAGCTTGTAGAGATAGTGCTGCCTATAGCTAACTTACCTAGCTAGGTATTCTAGAGGCGCTTATAGTAGTAGAGACCGCAAACCTAGCCCATATATTATCTAAAGGTAAATACCCCTTTAGCTAGAGACAGCAGCACAATATCTAGCTAAACTAAGTAGCCTTATTAAGAAGCGTTTACTAATAGCTAATACTAAGAAGTAGAGCTATAAGAGCCTAGTCGCTTACTCTAAGAATCTATTAACGTACTAATTAATTACTTATCTCTTTAGTACTATATAAGACTACTAGTAAATCTAGTTAGTAGTAGAAAGATACTAGTACTAAGCTAAAGAGAGCTATTAAGAGCTCTATATATAGAAGAACTTCTATAAAACTTCTATGTGCGAAAACTCTCTCCCCCCTTTACAAATTATAAAAAATTAATAATTCTCTACTCTACTAGTAGAGCTAATAATCTCTCTGCCCTACTAGTAGAACTAATAACTTACTACTCTACTAGTAGCTAAATACCTCCTCTCTTTTACTTCTTTCTTAATTAAAAAGCTAAACAAATCTAAATACTATAGAAGAGCCCTCGCGAAGCTAATCTAGAGGTAGGACCTTAGCTCTATAATACTCTTTTACTCTAATAGTCTTTAAATCTAGAGTAGTAAACCTACTAGTAGAATATACTAATTAATATTTCTATTATAAAAACTCTATTTAGTAACACGACGTAATAACTAATAAGAATTAGAATAATAACTTTAACTAGAAGCTTATAAAACTCTACTAGAGCTTAGTAATACTAGAGCTATTATTAGCCTTAGGTTTATATATACTCTCTACCTCTACTAAAGAGCTTTAAGAGCTCTTTCTAGAAATACTAGCTAAAATTATTAATAAAATAGTTAGCTAATTATATATATAATAAGTATATAAATAATAAATCTATATATATTACTAGATTACTACTAATACTCTTACTAAGAGAGATAATATATATAAGAGATATTAGATATAGGCTACTACTCTAGCTAAAAAAGACGCTAAAATCTAGCAACTATAAGTGTAATTAACCTACTCTAGAGACTAGATATTACCTACTACGCTAGTTTAACGCGCGACGTGTTTCTCTACAATACTAATTATACGTAATTTAAGCGCGTTACTACTAGAGAATTTAATCTTAGGTTCTTACTCTTCTATATACTAGCTAGCTATATCTCTAGCGTTACAAGCGTA